ATTATAAAACACATTGAATCATCACTCTTTGAAAGTTCATCCTAAACATTGTTTGAGTTAATATCTTGATACCATCCCATCTCTAGCGGCTCACAGACTGGTTGCCAGGCGGTCTCTATGTGAATATTGGTGATCAATTGGTCACTCTTTGTGGAGATCGAGGTGAACCCTACAAAATTGATGGCTCACACCATGGTTACTTATATTCTACTCCGGTTTCCAATATGCACATGCATAGTTAGTTCCAGTCCATTTGGCGTGCGGCTGCCTATCATCGATACGTGCACAGATATTTGATGGACACGTCGTATTCACATGAATGCAGCTCATTCACTAACTTGTCCTTTGGTAGTTAGCTTCAAGAAAATACTTACTTATTTCAGAAGTTTTAGTTTCTCTATTACCAAACATGAGCATATGTGTGTCCATTTAACCTGTGCTTGTGATCCAATTCACTTGCCTCTTTCTCTTTTCACGCAATGTATAAAAATTCATATTGTTGAATATTGGTTTACATGCTACAACATGTGAAGTTTTAATAGTTGTTATACTGTAAAGCCCACTTTTGGCTATACTTTTACACAATTGTGTACAAGCTTAGGCTTCTGTCCAATGCTTGGCAATATAACATGTATTAGCCGCATGAAAGAAGTCATCCCACCAAAAAGACACTAACTTTGCGGCCAAGTATTGAACCAATGGTTATATAGGCCACCACATCATAGTACTAGAAAATCACACGGGAAAAGAATTCTCGAGCAACAAGAGCCCACGACAAAGAGGGCATATCACTAAATCCAACAAGTTAATCTTGGGGGCTACAACGCCAACACAAATGTAGCATCAGGCAAACCATGGGTCCACATGAAATAGATACAATGCAAGGATCGCACATCCCATTTCAACCAGACACCAAAAAAGCAACCAATTTCTAACCAACCATCGAGGTACTCCATTGGGAAACCAACGGATCCGTGATAATATGCCTAGCCTAATGTTTGCAACAAGAAACATCCCTGAGGTATTCAAATAGGAAAAAAATATCATGTTCGGCATTTTTACAATGCCACCAAGAGTTCAACGTTGTGTTCCATAAAACACAACCTTTTCAGGGTATGGGGTGTAAACCAAAGAACTCTATAAGGATAAATTTATCGAATATTTCATCAATTATTATTTTTATCGAATGTCTTTATTCAATTATTATCATGCGACCACACCATTGTCTACTAAGTATCTACCCGGGCTAGAAGAGCCACAATACGCAGTCAGGAGCTAGTAAACAAAGTAAACTACATCTGTAATGCAGATAAGCAATACACTGTGAAGTATATTATTGAAATTCTAAAATAAAGAGATGATAATAGAGGAGACTTCCCATGGAACGGTAAGTTTTACTCCACTCCACAAACACAACCCTATTTCTCACCATGGGTGTATGTCGTGTGTTGGCATGAAATGTTGGGTTTATCGTTGCTACAGGACACATAAATGATACGTTATGAGAAAGACACATATAGAGATTTGTTTTTGCAAAAATATATAATTTGGGGCACAGTAAATTCACCATCTAGAAAGTGTTTGGATGAGCCTGATCAGTTCAAAATGGATATGCCAAGATTGAGCACACGTATCGTGCACACCCTAATCATGACTATAAAGTATTATTCATCTTAACCATGATCACACTTTTGCCAGTGTCAGACAAATTATTTTCTCAAAAATAATAATATTAATTGTACCTAAGTACCTTCTTGTGGCTGGGGTTGTGCTCTAGCAGCAAGTCAGTCTTGTTGGTCATATCCCTTCAAAGATACTTGTAGGGGACTCCTTCGAGACACATGGCAACTTATTTAACAAGCTAAACGATATAGAGTATATAACACAATGAGTCACTACTTGTTAAAAGTCTCGCCTAAACATTGTCTGAGTTAATATCCCGATACCTTCTAATCTCTAGCGACTCATCGGCCCATTGTCGTGCCGCCTCTGCATCAATGGTGATCGATTGGTCACTCTTTGTTTGATATGGGAAATGGAGTAGAAACCCCTGCAAAGCCAATGGTTTACTCTATCGGTGGTTACTTTATAATCTGCCAACGTGCACATGGCGTAGTTAGTTCATATCCATTAGGTGGATGGGTGTCCATGATCAATATGTGTACACTTGGTACGTCCTATTCACATGAGTGCAACTCATTCACTAACATGTCGTCTGGTAGCCAGCTGCAAACGAAGAATTAATTGTTTCATATTAGTTTTATTTCTGTGTTGCCGAGCACATGCATATGCGCGTTTGGTCATTTACTTGCCTCCTTTCCTTTCCTTTGGTTTAATATGTTTCACCATGTGGCTATTTGATAGAGAGAAATCTATATCTATACATATATCTATCTATATCTATACTCCTACTGATAAAGTAAGGTGAGTTTCTTCGATTTTTTTCGTTGATGAGTATTTTTTTTAAGATGTGTCGCTCATCCGGTAAAATCGTCCTTATACACAGCGGCGAATCTACAAAAAAAATAGAGTGTGGGCTGGACTGCCCATATGATGTGAATATATGTTGGCTGGGTTGATAAATGGCTTGGTTGGGCCTTTAGACTAGTAGGGAAAACAAATTTTGCAAAGCTGGAGGGGAGGAGGGGGGCTTGAGCCTGTTAAAGCCCTCCTAGTAGATTCGCCACTGCTTACACACCTACACTTTAAATATCAGACAACCAGCATTCCTTTGTTAGCGTTCTTAAATTATGATCTACTCCCTCTATCCCATAATACTAGCTTGCAAAAACATCTTATATTATGGGACGGAGGAATTACTTATTTGTTACTATGTTACCCAGAATTATGTCTTTGATGTTGCTCATCTTTTTCTTTACCACAAAGTTCGTGTGGTGGCTGAAAATGCTTGTTTATGTGCATCATCTGACGGTGCTTGCTTTTGTGCGGCGGTGCTTCCGAGGTGGAAAGCAGAAGCGTCATCCATAATTGAAGTTTCTTTACGACAAAACTAATAAGTGGATTCTTTTTTTTCGGATATGCAAGAGTGCGTATATTATATATTAAAGGAGAAATGCAAAGAAAGTCTCAACAAAGGTTTACTAGCGCTCCACCTTGGCCACACTCCACCTAGGTGCACTTTTTTCCGGCCTGATAAGCACAACATAGCAAGGAGAAACAATGACACCATCCCTGAAGTAGAAAGCAGAGCAAACAGAGCAAGCAGCAAAGAAGGAGCAGAGCAAGGAAGGACAAAGCATCCCCACTTCATTTCCTTCTTTCTTACCAAATATCTCCATTTCTCATCTCCCAGCACACAAAGAACATGGCGACGAGCGCATCCCGGCAGGCACCGCTTGACATGCACCTCCTAGACATAGGCCTTGGCCCTGCGGCAGAGACCGGGGAACTCCTCGTCGGCGACCAGCGAGCGTCACCCCGCAGATCTCCCCGACGACGCCCAGCCAGTGCACCAGCCCGCCGACGGCGATGTCCACGAGGCGGATGGCATCACCGCAGAAGAACCTCTTTCCCTTCAGCTGCCCCTCCAGAAGTAGCAGGATCCCCTTGGCTCCATCCCTTCTTCTGCTCCTCGCCACCATCTACAGTCGACCAAAAGGACATCCAGATCGGCCGCTCAAACTGCAGGACAATGTTCAGTAACTAAAACCACACGAGCAAATATGATCGATCGTCTGCTGGCTTTACCTTTTGATCGATCAAGTGAGCCCAGAAGCCGGCCGGCGGTGGCGCAGTCGTGCGTGTCGTCCGGCAGGAGTGGCAGCCCGTTCAAGTCCTCGTCCACGTACTCCATGATGACGAGCGAGCGACTCCGGGATGACGAGCGAGCTTCTCCATCATATTTCCCTCTCGGTGCCCCTCTCTGTTGTTCTAGTCGGCGGCCTGCCTACTAGCATCGCCAAAGTTGTTGACTTCAAGCTGGCGCTGGACAGCGCGAACATCACAAGATGCTGCACCGCGTCTCGAGTAAATGATGTCACTTTTAATTTATGTTTGATCGTAAATTTTTGTGTAATTTAGTTGATGTTTGATCTATGTTTGGGAGATCTCGTAACTGCAGCACATCACGCCAAAGAAAACAAAAAACAAAAACGCAAGTACTAAAAAAAAAGTAGTAGTAATCTCTTCTCTCCCCCCAGCAAAAAAAAAAAAGAGAAAAGAAAAGCAGCCGTCGCGCTTTCGCCATTCCCACGCCGCCGCCGCCGCCGCCGTC